GAAAGAAAGGAGGACAGACACGGTTTTAATGCATGCAGCAATGCAAGTTAAACATGCAGGAACACATATCAAATAGGAAAATCAAAGGGAAAGTGCACATACATTTAAAGAGGAATAATGACATCACTAGGACATCCTAGAAAGTCACTTTAAGCCCATTATGCAAAGTGTATAACAACGGACTTCGATCATTTCAGGTGTTATATAAAAGCAAAAATGTGTTTCAAGCGAAAATCAGCTTATGGCAATGTAAGGATTTTCTTTATGCCATTGAACTATATTATCTATCAGAACGTATTCTGAGCAATGGCCAGAGATGTCTATTCTTACAGGATCTTAGAGTGACAAAATGGAAAAGGTCAAAGATCTCTAAAAATGGAATAGGTCAAAGATCTCTAAAAATGGAATAGGTCAAAGACCTTTAAAGAACACCCCCAAATCCACCCTGAATTGCCATATACTGTATGTATGGAATGTACTCTAGCAAATGTGGGATGTCGCTGTGATGTGATCTCTTACCGCAGTAATGAAATTGTTAAAATGTGATAAATTAAAACCTTATCTAATTTCTACCTTTAGATTTCTTTATTTCATGTTCGTAAGTAATATTTGTCAGACAAAATGGAACCATTTAATAAAATAGTACAAACTGCAGTCATCCAAACCAACCAATCATATTTTGGACATAGCTTTGAAGTAACAAAATCTGAACTATAAACCTGTCAATATTGGTTCTGCTGATATCAGAAAAAAAGAAAGAGGGAACAGGGAGAATAAACCTCCCTGTTCCTGGGACTTTCACACACTGACCTATAATGTTTACACTACTTTCTAAAGTCACATACTCAGTCTAATTGAAACTTTCCCTGATATTGTTAATTGTTGCCAATTTAGCAATCATGTTGTCATGGTATCACCATTTTGTTCTCATTGTCATATAAATTCACAACTATGCAAAGGCTCATCATAGCAACTGTCATTTAGCAGTCAACTAGGGATATATTTGTTCCACCATTAAAATTTCAGCAGGTGCATCAAACATGGTGTGCATCTGCTTCTTTATGTTGTAAACACTGCTAATTTTATGCCTCATCACAGCCCGTTTTCACTCCAAAAAGCTTAAAATTAAACTCCAGGACAATGTGTTAAGAGAGGAGAGGTATATGATTTAAGATGCTGCAAAAATAAAGATTTTTTTTTTGTAAATTATTAATTTATATTAATAGTTTTATGGCAACCCTATGAAGTAATGGAGGAGACCAGCAGCATTGAGATACAAAAAAGGGAGAAGACAAGTAATTTATGAAAAACAAATGCCAACTTATAACACATATTGCTTTAGAAACATAACTGTCAACCAGTAGAACAACGATTGTGCTATGTTTATGTTGTACTTTATAAGCTTCCTTAAAAGTGGTATTAAACCCAAAACCAAACATGTAATATGTTGCAGCTTACCAATCATTAGATGTGGTGGCTGCAATAGTTTTCTTTTTTAGGCTCTTTTCCCCTCTGTTTTCACCTGGTTGATCTGTCCAGTAACAGATCTCCTGTATTAGAGTTCCCTCACTCGGAACAAAGGAGCACAGTAGACAGCAGCATTGTCAGTCTTGGGGGAGGGGAGTGGTAAATGTACTAGGAGATTAAATACACTAACAAATTGAAGCCAAACTCCAGCTCACACTTTATTATTAGTTACAGTAACCATTTTTTTTTGCTTTTGGGCTAAGGGTTTTATATACATAAATAAAAGCTGATCATTGTAGGTATCCCTGGCTGTGTTAAATGGTTTGTCCCATCCCTGTAAACTGATATACAGTATCTCACGTAAGTGAATACACCCCTCACATTTTTGTAAATATTTTATTATATCTTTTCATGTGACAACACTGAAGAAATGACACTTTGCTACAATGTAAAGTAGTGAGTGTACAGCTTGTAGAAAAGTGTAAATTTGCTGTCCCCTCAAAATAAGTCAACACAGCCATTAATGTCTAAACCGTGGGCAACAAAAGTGAGTACACCCCTAAGTGAAAATGTCCAAATTGGGCCCAATTAGCCATTTTCCTCCCCGATATCATGTGACTCATTCGTGTTACAAGGTCTCAGGTGTGAAGGGGGAGCAGGTATGTTAAATTTGGTGTTATCGCTCTCACTCTCTCATACTGGTCACTGGAAGTTCAACATGGCACCTCATGGCAAAGAACTCTCTGAGGATATGAAAAAAAAATTGCTGCTCTACATAAAGATGGCCTAGGCTATAAGAAGCTTGCCAAGACCCTGAAACTGAGCAGCAGCACAGTGGCCAAGACCATACAGCGGTTCAACAGGACAGGTTCCACTCAGAACAGGCCTCACCATGGTCGACCAAAGAAGTTGAGTGCACATGCTCAGCGTTCTATCCAGAGGTTGTCTTTGGGAATTAGATGTACAAGTGCTCCCAGCATTGCTGCAGAGGTTGAAGGGGTGGGGGGTCAGCCTGTCAGTGCTCAGACCATACTCCACACACTGCATCAAATTGGTCTGCATGGCTGTCGTCCCGGAAGGATGCCTCTTCTAAAGATGATGCACAAGAAAGCCCGCAAACAGTTTGCTGAAGACAAGCAGACTAAGGACATGGATTACTGGAACCATGTCCTGTGGTCTGATGAGACCAAGATAAACTTATTAGTATGGTGGTGGGAGTGTCATGGTCTGGGGCTGCATGAGTGCTGCCGGCACTGGGAAGCTACAGTTCATTGAGGGAACCATGAATGCCAACATGTACTGTGACGTACTGAAGCAGAGCACGATCCCCTCCCTTCGGAGATGGGTCGCAGGGCAGTATTCCAACATGATAACAACCCCAATCACACCTCCAAGATGACCACTGCCTTGCTAAAGAAGCTGAGGGTAAAGGTGATGGACTGGCTAAGCATGTCTTCAGACCTAAACCTATTGAGCATCTATGGGGCATCCTCAAAAGGAAGGTGGAGGAGCGCAAGGTCTCTAACATCCACCAGCTCCATGATGTCATCATGGAGGAGTGGAAGAGGACTCCAGTGGCAACCTATGAAGCTCTGGTGAACTCCATGCCCAAGAGGGTTAAGTGAGTGGAGGAAAATAGTGGTGGCCACACAAAATATTGACACTTTGGGCCCAATTTGGACATTTTCACTTAGGGGTGTACTCATTTTTGTTGCCAGCGGTTTAGACATTAATGGCTGTGTGTTGAGTTATTTTGAGGGGACAGCAAGTTTACACTGTTATACAAGCTGTACACTCACTACATTACATTGTGGCAAAGTGTCATTTCTTCAGTGTTGTCAAATGAAAAGATATAATAAAATATTTACAAAAATGTGAGGGGTGTACTCACTTTTGTGAGATACTGTATAAAGAATATTGAAAGAGAAGGCCAAATCTAGCCCCAAAAGAGTGCAATGGGCAATTATGATCTGCAAATTGCAGCAAACGGAGGAAACAATCAGGTTTCTGTTTATTGTACGTTGTAGTCAAATCAGAGACTTATCTGGTTGATATGCATCACCTTGTATATACAGTATATCCATTGATTGCTCCACTATTTTACAGACTAAACTTTAAGCCTCTACATTTTTCCTTCAAGTGATAAACAGACATTTTCAATGCAAGTTAGTTTTTTAAACAACATGATATAAAATGTAAATTATTAAATGGTTGAATTAGCTGAATTTCTTATGCACACTACTAGACCAAGCTGGAGGGGGTGGGAGGAAATACACTACGCTTTTACATCATCTCCCTACACTCCTGCAGATAGAGCAATGTACTTTCAATCTAAAGAGATGTGGTTTGAGCCAGGCAGAATTATCAATGGTGTCGACCTCTACGCAGCTACAACAGCAGCAAAGAGAACAATAATGCAGTATTTTTACTGCAAATAGAAGTGTGATATCCTTTCAAATGAAGTGCCCATGTGATGGTTCTACTGGTTGGAACAGTTATTTACAAAGTTTATAATGGGTAATTAGAAAAACAAAAGAGTGTTGGGGCTCATTCATTTTGCTATTCACAGCTGCACACCACTCAGATCAGCATATTTCTGTAGTGCACAGCCAGGTGTTTACTTTCAGCTGTGGACGCTCAGTCTATACAAATCAATGGCAGGCTGAGAGGCTCTGCAGTTGTCCAAATGTAATTGCACATGGAGGAATTACCTGTAGATTGGGACAAATGAGCAGCTCTGGATGCAAACAAGCTTGCTTTCAGATCCGCTCTTCTGTAATTACTCCTTTACATGATTTGTGCATGGTTCCTGTCCCAACTGAACATAAATACCTGGCAAATAAATAAGCGGTTCTGATTGGTGTGCAGTCATGGACAGCCATGAATCCTTACTGGTATAGGCAGCTCACATCAAATATGTGATTTTATGGTATGGCCATAGTTATACTTTAATAATCTATGAAGGAGGTCAGAGTTTCTACGCTAAACTCCCTCAGCACTAAATTATAATTTCAGCTATCTGTGATTGCATGTGGAATATTTTTCAGGAACTGGGTTAGCACCAAGTACACTTAATATGTTAGTGATAATTCATCTTCCTCAAGTGTTGTGTTCCCATGAGATCACCGAAGGCATTCTAGCAGCTTAGAATAAACCAGGCTGTGTTTACCCTGAAGAGCACATGCAGCTCCAGGAATGCAGTAGAGGAGGGAAAGCAGGCACGTCAGCAAGCAGTTTGGTGCCAGGCTAGCCACAGCCAGAGGCAAAGGGCCACAGTATAAAGTGAAGGGGACAGGAGAAAGGTTCATTGTGTATACATTTAAGATCACCAATAGAGAAAAAGCAGACAGATTGAAGTTCTACTAATAGGAAGGACGCAAGGACAGATACAAATACACAGATAAAAATGGATATAAATAGCCACATCCAAGACAACCACAGACTCGCTCCTCCTCTTATCTCCCTCTCCTTCAGTAATGCATACAACACCCACACACCATTCATCTTCCTGTGTAACCATGAAAGAAACTTACCTTTGGCTGATTACTCAATCCCAGTGAGAACCTGCAGAGAGAAAAACAAGTGTCATTTTATTCAGTTCTAGCATCCAAACTCTTATTCAATGAAAAGGACTGCTGCCGTCTGTGGATAGTTATTACCAATCAGTTGTCCATTACCTGCTCAGAACTAAACCCAGCTTGTTGCTGCAGGCTCGGATCTTATTCTGGGCCTCGATGTGCGTCATATTTGTGGTGCTCTCTCCATCAATCTGTAACAACCAGTCCCCCACACTAACACAGGCTACTTCAGCTTTTCCCCCTGGTGTCAGCTGTAACGGAGAAAGGAAGGCACCATTAACACAAAAGGTTACCTCATCATGTTCAACAAAGCAAAGTACATGAAAGACTATAGTCAAGCTCTGTGTTTGATTACACACAATTTCTTACTGCCACAATACAAAAGGGAAAAAAAAGAGAGAGAAATCAAAGTATTCTCCAAATCACACTAAACAGCATGAATCACCGCTGTGAGCTGTTGTGTACCTGCACAGTGACTGCATCTGATTGGATGCAGTCACTGTCCGGTCTACAGTTCTCCACCTGTTTCCTTTGATTCTAAAGTCAAAGTTTGTTTCCCTGGGTTCAGCCGACAGTGCCGACTACAGCTTAAATTTTAGCCGATTCATCAGGAATTGGCCAAAGAGTTAATACTCATAGGTCAGCATTTCTGTATGAAAAAAGTGTCTACTTCCCAAAACTTTAACATGATGACAGGTCCAACGTAAGCAGGAAAGAGGGTTTCACTCAGTGTTGCCAACGTCAGTATTTTTACCGGCAGCCAGTAAAAATGAGCACTTTTCTCCTGCCAGTAAATGCCAGTGACAGGAAAAGGTGGCCAGTTAAAAATATGGCTGTGATGCTTGGCTCTGCCCATGCACAGTCCTGCTGAGACCATCTGAGTACCTGCTACAGTGCGCCAGTGGGGTTCGGGTCTGGTGGAGGTGGTGCTTAACCGTGTCATGTGATCTCCTCTTGCATTACTAACCTACAAAGTGACATATCAGCATGGATGTCACTCCACTTCTTCAAACTCAATCTTTCCAAAACTGAGCTCTTAGTATTCCCCCCAGCCCGTGCCCCCTCCCCTGACTTCACCATCAAGATCAATAATACAACCATCAGTCTCTCCCCTCATGCCAGGGTGCTAGATGTAATCCTAGACTCCCATCTTTCCTTTCAGCCCCAAATCCAATCACTGTTCAAATCTTGTAGACTTCACCTCCACAACATCTCCAAGATACGTCCGATCCTAACCTTGGAAATCACTAAGCAACTTATTCACTCCCTTAATGACTATTGTAACTCCCTCCTCATTGGCCTACCTCATCGCAGGCTATCCCCTCTTCAGTCTATCATGAATGCTACTGCCAGACTCATCCACCTTACTAACCGTTCTGTATCTGCCACCCCTCTCTGCCAATCCCTCCACTGGCTTCCCGTTGCCCAATGGATAAAATTCAAAACATTAACATATAAAACCATTTTTAGCTCTGCCCCAAATTACATCACCAAACTTCATCCAAACCGTACTCTCCTCTCCTCGCACAACCTCCTACTCTCTAGCTCCTTGTCTCCTTCTCCCATGCTCTTCTCCAGGACTTCTCCAGAGATTCCCCCATCCTCTGGAACTCTCTACCCCAATTTATCAGACTATCGCCTACTCTGCTCACTTTTAGGCGATCTCTGAAAACCTCTCTCTTCAGGGAAGCCTATCCTGCCCTCAGCTAATAATGGAATCTTCTACTCTTCCAACCAGTCCATCCCCCACTGTTACTACCTTTTGTACCACTAGCCCCTCCCTCCTAGATTGTAAGCTCCCAGGATCAGGCCCCTCTATCCCTCTTGTATTGAACTGTATTGTTGCTGTATTGCCTCCCGTTATATTGTAAAGCGCTGAGCAAACTGTTGGCGCTATATAAATTCTGTATAATAATAATAAAAAAACTCATGCTGCCAGGGAGCCGAGCAGAGCAGCCGGAGCCTCCTGTGCAGGTCTGCGGGACAAGAGCAAGGCAAGCCAAGCCGGGATGCAAGACTGTCAGTGCGGTTTGGACTGTAGTGGACTGAAGGGACTACCTGGTGTGGGAAGAGACTGTTCACTGTGACTCAGGAGGGGACTTGTCATGCCGGTGAGGTGTCATTTGTCCAGGTAGCACACTGCTGTCTGCTGCCCTGCTGCTTGCCTATTCTAATTTCCTACCCTCCTGAGTCCTGTACCTGTGCTACTTACTTACTATATCGAAAATAAAATAAGAAATATGTTTTGTTGCCTTAACCGCTTCCCAACTGCCCTATAGCAGAAATACTGCTACAGGGTGGCACGGGTGTGCAAAATCACGTATATATGTGATTTTGCATTTCCAGGTAGGGGGCTGTTAATCACCAGGTCCCGGCCCGGTGATAACCCCTTCCTGCCCAGTGCCATTAGTACAGTGTCAGTGATTTTTTTTTTAGCACTGATCACTGTATTGGTGTCACTGGGGATGTCAGTGACATCAAGTCAGTTCCCCCCAGTGTCAGAATGCCCACCACAGTCCCGCTATAAGTTGCTGATCACCACCATTACTAGTAAATAATAAAAGAAAAATCCCAGTACATATACAGCCATTTGTAAATGCTATAACTTTCACATAAACCAATTAGTTAACACGTATTGGGATTTTTTTTTTTAGCAAATACATGTCGCAGAATACATTTTGGCCTAAATTTATGATGAAATTTGATTTTTAAAATTTTTTTACTGGACATGTTTAACCACTTGCCTACCGGGCACTTATACCCCCTTCCGTCTCAGGCCAATTTTCAGCTTTCAGTGCTGTCGCACTTTGAATGGCAATTACTCAGTCATGCAACACTGTACCCATATAAAATTTTGTCTTTTTTTCACACAAATAGAGCTTTCTTTTGGTGGTATTTAATCACCACTGGGTGTTTTATTTTTTGCATTATAAATGAAAAACCACCAAAAATTTTGAAAAAAAAAAATGTGTTTTTTTTAGTTTCTGTTATACAATTTTACAGAGTAATTTTTCTTTATACCAAAATTTATACTGCTACATTTCTTTCGTGAAAAAAAAAAAAAAAAAAACACAAATCAGTGCATATTATTTGGTCGGTTTGAAAGCTATAGTCTACAAGCTATGGTACCAATCATTGAAAATTGATGACACCTGACCACCCCTGATGCCTATCTAATTTCCTGAGGCCCTAACAAGTCAGGACAGTACAAATACCCCCTAAATGACCCCTGTTTGGAAAGTAGACATTCCAAAGTATTTAGTAAGAGGCATGGTGAGTTTTTTGAAGTTGAAATGTTTTCCCACAATTCCTTGGAAAAATTACGATTTTTTTTTTTTCGCCCCACAAAATTGTCATATTAACAAGTTATTTTTCACACACACAGCACAGGCATACTTGCAACTACACCACAAAATACTTTCTGCTACTCCTCCTGAATATAATGATACCAAATGTGTGAGACTTTTCCACAGCCTGACCACATAGAGAGGCCCAACATGCAAGGAGCCCCATCAGGTGTTCTAGGGACATAAATTACACATCTAATATCTTGACTACCTATTACAATTTTGAAGTCCCTGATGCACCAAGACAATGGAATTACCAACAAAATTACCCCATTTTGAGAAGCAAACACCCCAACGTATATTCCGTGAGGCATAATCAGTCTTTTGAACATGTCGATTATTTCCCAAAGTTTTCAGAATATGCGGGAAGAAAATGAAAACGTATTTTTTTTTTTTTACACAAAGTTGTCCATTTATAAGATATTTCTAATATATAGCACGTAAATACAAATAAATAACCCAAAATACATTCTGCTACCTCTCCTGAGTATGGCAATACCAAATGTGTGAGACTTATCCACGGCCTGGCCATATACAGAGGCCCAACATCCAAGTAGCACCTTTAGGCGTTCTAGGGGCAAAAATTGCACATCTAATTTGCTGACAACCTATCACACTTTTGAAGGCCCTGGAGCACCAGGACAGAGGAAGCACCCACAAAATGACCCAGTTTTAGAAAGTAAACACCGCAACGTATTTTTTTATGAGGCATAATGAGTCTTTTGAACATGTCGTTTTTTTCCACAAGTTTTCAGAAAATGTGGAAAAAAATTTAAAAAAATTTTTTTTTACGCAAAGTTGTCCATTTTGTAAGATATTTATAACATATAAACATGTAAATACCACAAAATACACCCCAAAATACATTCTGCTCTTCCTCCTGAGTATGGCAATACCACATGTGAGACTTTTCCACAGCCTGACCACTTAGAGAGGCCCAACATGCAATGAGCACTATCAGGTGTTCTAGGGACATAAATTACACATTTAATATCTTGACTACCTATTACACTTTTGAAGCACCAGGACAATGGAATTGCCCACAAAATGACCCCATTTTGAGAAGTAAACAACCCAACATATATTCTATGAGGAATAATGATCTTTTGAAAATGTTGTTTTTTTTCCACAAGTTTTAGGAATATGTAGAAAGAAAATGAAAACGTATATTTTTTTTAAACAAAGTTGTCTATTTATAAGATATTTCTAAACACACAGCATGTAAATAACAAAAAAAAAAAAAAATACCCAAAAATACATTCTGCTACCCGTCCTGCATATGCAATAGCACATGTGTGAAACTTTTTAACAGCCTGGTCGCATACAGAGGCCAGACATCCAGGTAGCATCGTCAGGTGTTCTAGGGACATAAATTACACATCTAATATCCAGACAACATATAATTTTTGAAGGCCCTTCATATTTCTAACACATAGCATGTACATACCAAGAATTACACCCTAAATTACATTCTGCAGAGAAAATGGTAAGCAAAAGATTACCTGTGGTTTTAGTAGTGCATTTGTCCACAGAGGAAAGCATTGGTCCAGGCAGCAGGCAGGGACGTGGTCAGCAACATTAAAAACAATTGTCCAGGCAGCAAACAGTATTATCGTCCATAGTCAGTATAGGAAGCAGGCAGAGATATCATCAGCACAGCCAAACCATTGGTCCAGGCAGCAGGAAGAGATGTGGTCAGCAGCAGCCAAAGGAATTGTCAAGGCAGAGACATGGTCAGCACAGCCAAAATATATTACCTGGTAGTAGGCAGGAACATGGTCCATGGTACAGGTAGCAGGCAGAGGTGTGGTCAGTTCATGCGGCAGGCATGTTGACAGTAAGTTGGCAGCAGGAAGAAACATCAGGCTTAGGGCCTCGCTCAGGTTAGGCCTGGGCACAGGGGTAGACGCTTCGTCAACCCATCTCTT